CTCTCTCTCTCTCACACACAGGAGGGAGCATAGGGGATCTCTCTCTCACAGGGTAGGGGGATCTCTCTCTCTCTCACACACACAGACATCCCGAGGCGAGGGGCCAGCCCAGCCCAGCCCAGCCCGAGGCCGCAGCGCCTTGGAGCTGTTCCCCGCCCGCCCGCAGCCCCTTTGTGTCTCTTCCCAGCAGAATGAAGAGGCTTTTTTCTTCCCAACATGTGCGGGCCAGACAGCAGCAATGGGGGTCGGGTGCGTCCATCTCCCTGTATGTGTGGGGGAGCTGAGTGGATGGTTCTGCAAGAGCCCCCCATTGCTGGGGGAATGGATCTGCAGAGCCCCCCATTGCTGGGGGCGGGGTGATGAGCCTGCAGAGCCCCCCGGCTGGCTCCCAGCCTTTCGCCCCAGTGCGGGCAGGTGCTGGCCCCAGGCGGGGGGTGGCTGCACGGGCGGGGCTATGCTCTGCGGAGGGAGCCCCCCTCGCATTTGCCCCCGCCCCACCTAGGGCAATTACCTGGCCGCGAGCCCCGCCCCCTGCGCTGAGTGACAGCCGCCGGGATCACATGGGGGGCGGGCGCTGGACTCGCCACCTGGGAGCCGCCACGGCCGGGGCCGGAGGAGGAGACGCGCCGGGGATGCGCTCGCCGCCGGCCGCTTGTGCATTAGCAGCGGGCGGGGCGCCGGCCCCCTTCCCCATGGAGCGGGGCTGCTGAGCCGCTGGGCCGGGCCATGGTGGCCGCCGCCCCCGCTGCCGCCGCGGCGATGAGGAAAAGCTTCCTGGTGCCCGAGATCAAGCCCCTGGATCAGTATGACTTCCCTCGGGCGCGCAGCGCCGCCAGCCTGGCCTGGGCGCTGGCCAAGGGCTACGGGGGCGCAGGTACCGCGGGCCGGGCGCGGCGGGGGGCTGGGGGAGCCGGGGGGGGGCTGAGGAAGGGGGGATCGGGATTATACCGGGCTGGGGGGTAGGTAGAGCTAGAGGGGTCCGGGGATCTGGCGGGGGTTCTGCATTATAGGGGGCTTGGAGGGGGTAAGTGCTGGGGGGCCGGAGGGAGTGCTGGAGAGGGAGGGTAGGTACACGGGGGGGGGGTGCACCTGGGAAGAAGAGGGGGATCTGGATTATACGGGGCTGGGGGGCAGGTACTGAGGAAGGTTCGGAAAGCTCCGGGGGCCTGGGAGGGGGAAGCCCAGGATATAGGAGGTAGGGAGAGAAGAGGGGGTTGGATTATATGGAGTGGAGGTAGGTATGGGCCAGAAGAGCCCCGATCACAGGCTGGAAGGAGGAAGAGGGAGGCTGGGCAGCCCGGATTATGGGGGGAGAGATGAGCTGTAGTCTGTTGTGGTGGGAGAGCATTTAGCTGCTGCAGTGGGGGTGATGGGGTCTCTTGTTGCTGGAGGGAGGGGGGGGAAGGGAACAGAGGAACTCCCCCAGCTCCACTCACCTGCCTGCTCTGAGCTGGGGGCAAATAGGGGTCCCTCCCCCTGCCATAACCCTGCCATGCCTCTTCCTAGCAGGGCCCTTGTTTCCGGGAGCTTCTGCTGTCTGGCCTGGCATCTGGCTGGCTCTGTAAACGCCCAGTCTGAACAATAGGCTGGGGGTTTTGCCCTCCATCTCAGTGCCCAGAGAGGCTTTTTCTGGCCCTGGTGGGGTGTGCTCCACCAGAGATAGGGCTGTGGTGTGTGTGTGTGTGTATGTATGTATGTGTGTGTGTGGGTGGTGGCAAGTGTGGGTCTGTCACCTGCAGTGCAGACCCTCCCTCTCAGCAGCTGTGACATATGAAAGGGCTGCCTGAATATTCAGGAAGATGGGGAGTGGGTGGGAGGGGGTTGTGTGCTGGTCTCTTCCCCCCACCCTAGCCCTGTCTGCAGTCTGTTCCCAGGCCTGCTCTGTGATTGGAGAGGGGGGGATGTAGAAGGGCTGGGATTTAATCTCCATGTATTTTTCTCTCCCTGGCTGGCTCTCCCTGAGGCTCTGGGTGGGCAGGTGTCTCTCTCCTGGGGCGGCAGGGTGGAAAGGACCTGGTGGGCAAAGGATTTTGATTGAGGGCCGTGTTTGTTCCTCTATTTGTGTCTGATCTTGGACGGGCAGAGGGGGCTGCTGTGCCCGACACTCCCAGCGCCTTAGTCTCCAGCCCTTGGGCTCCTCTGTATTGTCTCCTGCCGAGGCCCTTTTGTTGCAGTGGCAGGGCCTGGGTGGTGGGAGCTGTGTGGTGACGTGTGTGCGTGGCTAGGTGAGCTCACACTGCTTTAACCCTCTGCTTGCTGCTGCTGTGCGCCCAGAGCCGTGGGCAGCTGGCTGGTGCCCCGCCCTGCCAGGCTGTGATACCGGCTGTGTCCGGTGGCCTTGGCAGGTGTCGCTGTCAGACCTTTATCTGTGTGATGACGCTGGAGCTGGAAAAGCCCAAAGGGGGAGGGAATTGTCCTCACTGCTCTGGGCCGCTGCCTCCAGCAATGGGGCTTCTTCTAGCTTGCGTTATCTGCTGATGTGGCCCCATGGGGAGGCAGTTGGCTTGCCAGCCTTCCAGGGTGTGTCCCCGTGCCCAGGGCACCTGGCTAGTGCTGGCACCTGCCCTGGGACGTGCAGCTCAACAAAGCCTGGGCTGGCCAGACCTTCTGAGTGAGGAGTGACTGCAGACATTGCCTGTGGGGCCCAGAGACTGAATCTGGGATGAGGAGGGGTCCCCTCTGGGTGGGAGCTTCATGGAGAACCCAAATTGTCCCGTCTCGTCAGTGGGGTTAGGCCTCATGCGCTGGGTGTGTGTGTGTGTGTGTGTGTGTGTGTGTGTGTGTGTGTGTGGGGAGGGACTCCTAGATCCAGGGTGTTTGGGCTTCCCCTGCCCTTACTCAGCACCACCACCTCCCCCTGTGCCCCTTTGGCAGGGCAGCATGCTGCCCCCAGGCCTATGAGGAGGCCCTAGGCCTAACAATGGGACTGGGATCAGTCGCCCAATATGGTCTCCCTCCTTCTCTGTCTGTAGGGTCCCGCACCAAGCTCAGTCTGACCTGATGTTCCAGGAGGCCTGGGGATCAATTTTGGGTGGTGGTAGGAAGGGGTGAGCGAACCTTCCCATTCGGGGCTCTCTGTTCCTTCAGCCCCCCAGAACAGTGTCTTCTACCCCGCTCCCCATGCCCCATTCCCCTGAGCTCCTGACATCCCCGGCTCCCAGCCAGCTGTGGGGCTCTCCTGCCTCTGCCTGGCCTCTGATCCTCCCCAGATGTCTGGCTGGGAGCAGCTCTGTTCCACACAGGATGGGGTGGGGGGGCCCCCAAACACCCTCCACATGCTGGCTGGTGGGGGAATTCCTTTCCCCTCCTAGTGCTGTGTGGCTGGGAATGGGAGGGGTGGCAGAAGGAGCCGGTAGTGGGGCAGTGCATCCCCATTGGGGTGGGTGCTAAGAGCCCTGTGTCGTAGGCACAGCCTGGTGATGAGGGAGGGAAGCCCCACTTACTAGCAGTCAGCCTGGGGGGAGGGGAGCCGTTTGGCTGAGACTGCTGACCTGGAAGTAACGTGGGAGGGCTTGAAGGCAGAGCTGCAGCCAAGGGGAATGCTTGTGGACTAAGGGCTGGTGCTCTGCGTGGGCCCTTCCCTGTCAGGAGTAAGTGCTGTCAAGGCCATGGGACAACGAAGCGCTAGCGGCCTGTGGCCCGCTCTGTGCGGGAGTTACTCACTGGCTTCTAGAATGCAGCTGGCTCTGGGGTGAGGCTCGGCAGTTCAGAGGAAGTGAAGGCAGGTTCTGCCCCAGCTGGGTGTTACGGGGATGGAGTTGATGACAGTAGGGTCAGGGCAGGGTGCAGAGTTTGCCAGCCTAGTGCTGTACGTGGAGCGAGGGAGGGGGCCCAGCTGAGAACAGGTTTCCCCCGTCCCTGCCCTTCTGTGTCACACACAAACAGCCCAAGCAGGGAGGCTGCGTCATCTGCTTTGGACCCAGGCCAGGGTGGCCCTGGTGGGGCAGTGCCAGGTTCAGAGTCCAGGGCCCTGCTGGGAAAGCAGCTTATCTTCAGCCCTGGCAATGCCGACACCTGCCGGCAGCCCTGCCGACCTGAGCTGGGAACACACGCACGGCGCCCGCTCTGCATGCCCCAGTGCTGTCTGCATTCCAGCGCTGAGGCCTGGATGGGTTTTGGGCTGGCTGTGGAGTGAGTCAGGTCCCATCAGCGCTACAGACCGTGACTGGGTGTAACCAGTGGAGCTGGGTGGTGGGTACGCAAGGCCCTGGTAGCCACTGTTGGTGTCTATGACGGGAGTGCCTGCAGGTTCTGCCTGGGGGTGTGGGGAGAGCTGTTGTGCTGGCTACTGCGGGGGCTCCCCCAGCTGCGATTAAGGGGTCCCGTTGGGCCCAGGACTGCATGGATCCCTAATAAGAGACAGTCTGTGCACCAAAGAGCTCCCAGTAAGTAAAATGTGGAGGGGAAACTGAGGCACAGAGGGCAGCTGCACAGCAGGTCAGTAGCAGAGCTGCGAATTGAACCCTGCAATCCTGACGCCCAGTGCGGAGCTGGAGCCACTAGACCCCACTGTGCCCCAAAGGCCAGAACTGTTCTCACCACTCTTTCAATGAAGCATGGCTCAATGGGCCCAGGCTCCAGTGGTAGCCCCTACAAGGGTTCCTGCCTGTTAGAACTACAGAGATTCCCATCAGCACCTGCAAACTCTCCGGCTGCGCCGAGGCGGCTGTTCAGAAGTGTCACAGGCATTGCAAGACCCTTTCTGCATCCCAGAACTCCCCTGCTGGGGCAGGAGTGTGGCCTGTGCTAGCACAGCCCCCCTGGGGGACAGCGGGGCCTGCCGGGACCAGGCCTGGAACACAAGTTGTTGGCATGTTGCTGTCAACACAGGCAGCGGCACCAGCACCAGACGAGTCCTGACAGGATCCTGGCCCAGCTGCTCCAACGCCATGTTCAAACCTGGTGATTTGGGCAGGGGCGGGGACTCCTGGTTGCTGAATTCCTGTGGTGGGAAGGCTGGGAAGGGAAGCAAGCCAGTTTCAGCTGCGATCTGGGCAGGCTGGGATTGCCAGGGCAGGGTGCCTGGGTATATGCGCCTGTCCCACCCCAGAGCCAGTCCGCCCCGATCACACTGACCCTTGGACTGCCTAATCGAGCTGCATCCCTTGATGCCTGTTGTCCACCCTCCCCCCCACACACACACACACGCACACTGTCGGGGGGGGGGGGGGGGGTTCCTGCTGAGCCGCTCTAGAGAGCTGTGCTGAGGGAGGCTCTCGCACCTGCTGGAGGGACAGGGGTGATGGGGGTGGGGTGCAGGGAGACTGTGGCATGAGCCAGTCCATTTGGGGCACTGACAATGGAGGTGGGTATCTCTGTAACCCACATCCCCTTCCCCCACATTGTCTAGCTCCTTTGGGGCTGGGAACAGGGACTTCTGAGTACCTTCTCAGTGCAAAGGGACAGAGGCCAGTGGAGGAAAGCTCCCACCACCCCTGTGGCTACCCCAGCATGGTGTCTGTGGCTGGGGTCTGCTGACCTTTGCTGTCTCTGCCTTGCCCAACCTGGAGAAGGGCCGTGGTGGGGGAGAGGTAGCCCCTGACTCCCTCACCCCGGGGCTGCTACTCATCAGTGAAGACAGGTCACTGATTCAGAGCGATTCTGGATTGCTTGGAAAACGGGGCGCACAGAAATATCCGCCTTTTAATGTGGTGAAATGTAAACGTAGGCATCTAGGGACACAGAGCGTAGGCCAGACTTACAGGATAGGGGCACTGGGAACCAGTGACTGGGGGTTGTGGTGAATTATCTGCTGAACATGAGCCCCCAGTGTGATGCTGTGGCCAAAAAGGCTCATGCGATCCTGGGATGCATCAACGGGAATCTTGAGTAGGAGTTGAGAGGTTATTTTACCTCTGTTTGGCCCTGGAATCC